CAGTGTCAGAGGCACTCAGACACCAGACCAGGGCACCTCTCAGGGCACCTCCCGGCAGCACCAGCAGGTCACCCGGCTGCCCACACCCCGCGCCGGCTGCTCCTCAACCCCCAGGCAGAGCCGGGCAGGGACCTCGGCACCTCCCAGCCCTCCGTCCACAGGCCCCTGGCAGGGGCAGCGGCACATGCTCGTCCAGACCAGTCTCCCGCCGCCCGGCTTCTGCGCAGGTGCGGACAGCACACAGGAGTCACCCCAGGGCAGGGCGGTCACAGCAAGCTAAGGCGCCAGGACTGGAGCCAGGGGTCTGCAGAGCTCAGACAGCGCCCCTGAGCTGGGGACAGCCCCCAACGGCGCCTGTGCCTGGACAGATCACGGCCACCTCTGGGAGGTCTCACAGGGAGCCCCACGGGAGCTCCAAGCAGCCACCTCAGCTGGTAGGACCCAGGCTGAGCCTCTCACAGGTCTGGTGACCGCCAACTCCACGGCCCGAGGCGAAAGTCACAGGCGGGAAAGCTCAGCCTCTGCTCGGGACGTCTGGCCGTCCTGTGGCTGAACCAACACTGCCCGGGCCACGCACACCCCAGTGCCACTTCCCAGGAAGGAGAGGCGAGGGAGGGCTGGGGGGACGGAGGAAACTATTCCCAAGGAGCTACCCGCCACCGGGGCCTGCAACCCCGCGGGCGTCTTAGCCTGGCCACCGCCTGCACCACAGCTGCCCAACCTTCCAGGGCCAGGGGGAGCTCACACAGACCAGCCCGCCGCACGGAGCCCGCAGGCTCTGCTTCCTGGTGTGACTAGAACCTTCCACTGGTTTCTGCCCAGGCGGCCATGAGACAGCCCAAGTGCACCCCCCACCTGCCGGGGTCCCAGCGTCCCCGGCCACCCAGCCCGGCCCAGCCACGGGGCTACTCAGCATCCAAACCCACAGCGACAGCACAGGTTGCCGCACAAATGTGGGCCCTGGAGTGGGAACCCCCCGGAGACTGTGAATTCTGAAAGCTGCGCTCGCCGGCCGCTCACAGGCTCTCGTCTCTCACACAGGAGCCGATCCCAGCGGGAGACCAGCCCCTCCCCAGAACCAGGAGGGCAGCAGCAGGTTTACCCGTGAGCGGGGTCCAGGGCGATGGCCCGAGGCTGGTCAAGGTCCTGCCAGAAGAGCACCTTCCGGGACGTCCCGTTGAGGTTGGCCACCTCGATGCGGTTGGTCTCCGAGTCCGTCCAGTACAGCTTCTTACCGACCCAGTCGCAGGCCAGGCCATCGGGCGAGACCAGGCCGGAGATGACCACGTTCTGCGTGGCCGCGCCCGTGTGGTTGAGGTACGTCTGCTTGATGGCCTCCTCGCTCACGTCCGTCCAGTACACAGCCCCCTTGGAGAACTGGAAGTCCACGGCGGCCGCGTCCTCCAGGCCGCTGACCACGATGGTGGACTCCAGCTTGACTCCGCCGGCGTCCACCAGCCGCACGTCCCGGCGGTTGGCAAAGAGCAGGAGCGGCGAGGCTGTGGGACAGAAGCAGAGGGTGAGGGCCGCTGCCCACCTGCTCGGTGCTCAGCCCCGGATGGGGGACTGCACAGCCCAATCCTGGCACCACCCGCCTGGACCCACGACCTCGGCCTGTTCCTCGCCCCCTGAAAAGCCATCCCAGGCCCCGCAGAAAACGCTCCCTCTCCTCGTGATGGACAGATGGGGACCCGGCCGGCCCCCTTCCCCTCTCGCTCCAGGAGGGCCCTTTGAAAAGGGAGCTCACAACAGACTGCACTCCAGCCCCGGGAACACCTGAGCCAGCAGGGAGGCTTCCCAGGTGCAGGGCCAGAGCCCGGGGAGCGGCGGTCAGCACTCGGCTCCTGGGCACCAGCTCAGATCCAGGCCCTCCTGCTCCCAGGTAACCCCTCTGCAGGCGGCAGGACACGTGGCAGACCTGAGGCCGGGAGCACCCTCCAGCAAGGGCCCCCCCAGCCCCCCCCCCATCATCAGGTACCAGGGCTACAGTTCCCGGTGGCAGGAGGCAACAGGGTGAACATCCAACAGCAGGAGAAACAGGCAACCAAGCCGAAGAGTCGGAGTAACGAAAATTCAGAATTTGGGGGGTCAAAAGACATTGTTATGGTTTGGGTATGAGGTGTCCCCCCAAAAGCTCCTGGGTTAGATAATGAGGGATGCTCAGAGGTGAGATGACCGGGTGATGACGAGCCGGGTGACGAGCCACAGCCGCACGGTGGGTTAACCCATCTATCGGGTGGATGATCTGGAAGGACTAGGTGGTAAGTGTAGGCAGGTAGGGCGAGGCGAGGGGACGCAGGTCACTGGGGATAGGGCCGGGAGGACTACTCTAGTCCCTGGCCCCTTCCCCCTCCCTCCACCACACCTTCCGCCGTGCCGTTCTGCCTCACCCCGGGCCCACAGCCATGGAGTTGGCCCACCACAGGCTGAACCCTGACTCGGGGAGCCAAAATAGACTCTTCCTGCTCTACACTGTTCTTGTCGGTTATTGTGGTCACGGCGACACGAAGTTCACTAACAGACACCACCACAGAGTAAAACATCAACCCACAGAACATCAGAAAACTCTGCAAATTGGTCAACCTCTGACAAGGGCTTACTATCTGGAATATACAAAGAACTTCTAAAAATCAACAACAAAGAAACAGACAAAATACTCAATCCGAAAATGGGCGAAGGACTTGAACAGACACACCCATGAATAAGTATAAAAGTGGCTGATGAGCACATGAAAAGGTGTCCCAGGTCTCTGATCATCAGAGAAATGTGAACCAAAACTACAAGGAGATGCCACTTCACAACCCCTGGGATGCCTGCTATTAAAAAATAAATAAAAACCCCAAATCACCAGCATGGGCACTGACCTAGAGAAGTGAGAAACATGCACTGGCCCGGTCACTGTGGGAAGAATATGTGGTTCATCAACATTAAAAACAGAATCAGCCAACGACCCAGCAATTCCACTGTGGAATCGATGTCCGTAAGTGTTGGAAGCAGGGTCTCAAACAGATGTTTTCACACCTGTGTTCAGGCAGGTGGAAGCAAGCCAAGCATCCACTGATGGCTGGACAGACCAATAAAATGCCTCTGTCCACCCAGTGGAATATTACTCAACCACAAAAAGGGAGGAAGTCCCGACACGTGCTGCTGTACAGACAAGCCCAGAGGACGTTATAGTGAGCAAAACAAGCCAGTCACAGAGGACAATCCTGTGTGACTCCACTTATAGGGACGTCCCTGGAGCCGTCAGACTCAAAGTAGGACGGAAGGTACCAGCAGTGGGGACAGGAGGCTAGTCAGTCGACGCTTAATAGGGGCAGAGTTTCCCTTTGGAAGACAAAATGGAGTTCTGGAGGCGGGTGGTAGTGACAGCCTCGGCCCTGTGCCTTTAACCATGGTAAAGGTTTGCATATTTTACCACGGAGAAGACAGACAGGAAATCCGACAGTGAGATGTGACACTGTCACCTGCATTCCAACCTCACACAGAGATGGCCAGGCAGAGAACATGGTCCCCCTGCCCCAGCAGACAGTAAAAAAAGTGATCCATTTCGGGCAGCTTCAGTCCACCCTGACCACCCGCAGGGACCACCTGCTGAGGAGTGGCCCCTCCCCCGGACAGGGCACAGGAAGCGGCTGAGAGAGGAACCAGCCAGGCCAGGCCAAAGCCCTGGGGCAGCGAGGGCCTGGGGCTCAGGACACCCCACCAGCCCTCCCACGCGTTCCACTTGTATAAGTGCGGCCCCTTTTCTGTGTGTGTACCTACAATAAGAACTTCCCCTTTCCCTGCTGAGCCCTGTCCCCAAACCAGCTGCTCACAGAGAACTCAGTGTGCCAAGGGCCCAGGGAGCAACCTCCAGGGTGAGCAGGGCAGAGGGCACCCCTGTCCTGGGCTGCCCGCTGGCTGGGGCATCTGTAGCACCTGCCCCCAGCCTGGAGGCACCCCAACTTCAAGATGATGACAAGGAAAGGGGGGTGGGCTGTCCAGAAGGGTCCCGGTCCCTGTCCCCAAGCCCTGAGCACACGAGGAGACTGGGGGACACAGCAAGACGCCAGCCTTGGGGACAGTGGGGGTGGAACACGCCCAGGATCGGGGAGGGCAGGGCCCTGTGGTAGAGGGGTGCGTGGGACAAGAGACACCCACCCCAAGACTTCCAAGGCACACCCAGGCACCGGCCCGCCCAGAGCAGTTCCCATTCACCCTCCAGCCACCCAGAGCCACGATCCCCGACAATGTCACAATGCCGGTCCTGGAGGAGGCCGACTTGTCCCACAGGTCTGCGATCTGCCTGGGCATGCGGGAATTCCAAGCTGTGGTTCACCTTCTGGGAGTCACAAAGCCTCCTGAGAAGCAGGTCCTCTCCCTGACAGACAGACAGACAGACACACATATACAGGGCAGCCAGGCCGGCCCCGGCCCCCAGTGGGGAGAAGGACAGGACCCAGAGTGTCTGCTCTAACTTGGCTGCCCTGGCAACAAGGGACGGGACTGTCCCTGGTGGGTGGGGGACACCAAGCAAGGGATGGGCTCCTCAGGAATGAGCGTCACAGGGTGTGGTCCATCTCCGAGGACGGAGGACGCTATGCTCAAGGGGCTCCCCGTGGGCTCTGGACCAGGCAGGAGGGGGAGCGCCAACACCCCAAGACCCGGCGGACAGCCGGTCAGGAACCCAGGAAACTCCTCCCCAAAGCCAGTGGTCCCAGGGGAGACCTGGGGACCAGGCCACCCTGGGGAGGGAGGCCCTGGAAATCCCAGCTCTACCCTCTTCTCCCTCCCCAAACTGGAAAGACCGCCCGGGCCGGGTCTGGGCAGCAGGCGTCTTCCAAGGCGGGGTGGGTGGTGCTGCCCTCCCCGCCTCTTCCACCCTCAGCTGCCACAGGGGGGCTGCCAGGAGCAGGCCCCAGGGAGGGCGGGGCAGAGGCCGGGGCCTGGCCAGGGGTAGGCTCTCCCCAGGAGGAAACCCCACCCACGGGATCCCTCCGTTTTAAGAGGAACCCACAACACGCTGCCGTCACCTGGGGAAGTGGCTTTGCTCGGGGGACCTGGCGGAGGCCCCAGGGCTCACGGCAAACCAGGGCCTCTGTGTGGGTGGCTCCCTGTCCGCACCCGGCGCCCAGCCTGCCCCTCCTCCACCCTCCACCGGTCTGGGGAGCCCTGGCTGCTATGGGCATGCTGCCACCCAGGGGCCCGGTGCCCTGGCACTGCTGAGGTGGAGTAGTCAGACAGACGCAACAGAGACAGACAGAAGGCCCAGAAGAAGCAGAGACTTCTCAGGAAAGGCAGCACAGGGCCGAGACAGGGCGTCCCTGCCACTGAGCGTCCAGGACCTGCAGCAAGAGCCCACCTTTGTGGTCCTGTATTCCAGGGCTGGAAGCAGAAACATCTTAGTGACCTTGGATCGTGAGCTCTGCGCAGAGGCCAACAGCTGGGTGAAGAGGAAGGGGGTGGAGCTGCGTTCCACACAGGAACCAGTGCCAAGGTCCTGGGGCAGAGCAAATGGGGGTGGGGGTCACGGTGGACGCTGGCTCTACGGGCTCCTTCCCTGCCAGCAGACTTGTCCACATACCCAAGACTTCACAGCCTGCCATGAGTCGGGGTCACAGGTTCAAATCCCCTGAGCAACCAGACGGCAGCCTCCAGAAAGACACCTCCACCTGCCCCAGGCCACACCACCAGCTGGCCTCTGGTGCAAGTTCTGGGCAGTGAGAGGAAGGATTCCAGGAAAATTCTAGAAGGAAGAGGAGGGAGGGCAGCAGGGCCAGGAGGGGTGCACATGACTCTCAAGACTGCAGCAGACACCGGAGGCGGCACTTTGGAGCCCCGCGCCTGGGAAGGGCGCCAGGCTGGGAGCTGGACCCCTGGGACCGGCCAGCACCACGCCCCTGGACCCACCTGAGACCACCAGGAAAACCATAGGCGGTCCAGCTGTGGCTGCCCTGGAGCCCGAACACTTCTGTGCAAGGCTGCGGTGACGTTAGGTTAAGGACCCCAGAATGCCTGAGGCCCTCCCAGGAGGCACCTCAAGTTTGTCCCACGGAGTTTTCCTGTCAAGAGCAGGAAGGTCCTAGCTGCAGCACTCACCGAGGGCCTGTCCTCAACAGCAAGGAAACCAGCACCGGAGGTCTCCAGCCCCAGAGGGCGGCCCCGAGGACGCGCTGCATCTATCTGACGCCCGAGACTGGGGACGGTCAGACGGTGTCAACCCCACACCCTCAGGAACCAGGACCAAGTGCCAGGACTGCGGTCATGAGAGAGTGCCGGCTGGGGACAGGGTTGACAAAGTAACTTATCAGGAAGAGCCCCGGTGGAGTTCCAGTGCGTCCCACTGTTTGGACATTTTCACTCCGACTCCACTCACATCGTGTGGAGTTATTTGTAGGTAGAGTCTTTCAGGACCCTCGACCACAAGGGCAAAGGACGGGTCAGCCCTTTGGAGTGGGAGCCCTGGAACCAGGTCAGGGTGACTGCCAAGCGGAGCCCCAGGGTCAGCATCCTGGCAGAGCTGGTCCCCCCACCTCGACGGCTTCCCCGTGAAACCGGGTTAATCGGCGCAGCCCACATCAGAGGCAGCGGGCCTCACCGAGAGGACTCGAGACAAGGCTCGGCCGGGCAGCGACACACTGAAGGATAATAGCCGCCAGGCGGCTTAGTAATGGTCTCCATTAACCAAACGTCCACTCCCCCAGCCCAGGACCACGGACCTTCCACCCACACTCTGGGACCTGGGTTCGAAGCCAGCCCTGGGCTCGGCTGTGAGCTCTGCGGCAAGACTTCCTCCTCCCTTCAGAGCCTCGGTTTAGTCATTTATAAAACAGAAAATGATGGCTATTACCAAAAGGCACCCCTGACTGCTGGAGGACAGGCGGCTCCCTGAAAAATCACCACCAACACCGACTGTATGACCCGGCCGTGCCGGGGGACACCAAGACCTGCAAGCGGCCTCCCCAGCCAGGGCACGGGGGCAGCGCTCGCAGGGGCGCTCACGGCGCCCAGGAGGTTGCAGCAGCCCAAGTGTCCCCCCCGGGAACGAGCAGACAGGCGTGGCCTCGCCACACAGTGGGATGTCACCCAGCCATGAGGACCTCTGACCTCGCGGCAGCGTGGATATCCCCTGAGGATGCTCGCGGAGAGAAGCCAGGACACAGATCTTGCTGGACGAGTCCCTCACAGGGATGTCCAGAACAGAGAAACCACGACGCAGAAAGTAAATTAAGGGGGCTGGGGTGGGGAGGGGGCAGGAAGAACCACCTCATGGGTAGGGGGCCTCCCTGGGGGTCAGTGGAAATGTTCTAGAACTAGACAGAGCCGTGGTGACGATATTGCTGAAGTCCTAAATGCTACTGATTTGTACACTAAAATGGTCAACGACACGTGACGTGAGTTCTTCCTGATGCACACAAGGCTTCAGAAAGGCGCCTCTGCACCGTGAGCAGACCTGCTCCCCTCGAGATGGGCTACGTCCAGCACAAGTTTAACCTGGTGCGGTCCCCCTCGATGGGCACCTGGGACACCCCACACTTCCCTGGGTGTTCTCAGCACCCTCCAATCAGGGGAGCGACAGCCAGCCTTCCCCTGGATGCACACGCACCTGCCGCCCCCAGCACCCCCACAGAGCAGCGTCCCAGGGAGGCCGCGTCTGGCCCCTCCCACCGCGGGGGGAGCCGAGGTCCGTTTACAGGCCCTGCCCAGCAGCACCGGAGTCTGAAAACTCAAGTCCAGCAATCCCATCTGAACTGCTATAAGCGTGTCCGATATTTATATATAGAACCCGAAGCAGATGTGGGGCTTCCAGCCGATCGCCTGTTTTACACTGTTTACACGGACACACCAGACAAGGCCCCATTCGAGGTAATCCGTGCTCTGCTACAGGCCAAAATCAGCAGTACTCTCAGCACAGGCCTTATTTATATCCACCAAGCGTTACACCGGGCCCCAGTGGATCACTGGAGGGAGCTACACGTTTGTCAGGAATGATCTTTCATCTGGCGCCAACCCTACGGGAGAGACCACGAAATAGAAGAAATCAGAGGTGCACGTGTGGTCAGGTGGGACCCACACTCAGCAAGGAGCAAAGGTGAGTGGAGTGACAGGGACAGGAGGTGCCTAGGGCTCCGAGGAAGCAGAGCTGGCTGTGGGTGGACCAGGCAGGCTTCCCGGAAGAGGGGAGGCTGCAGCCCCGGAGCAGGACCGTGACCTGGTGAATGCTGAGCACGCCCGGGCGACACCCAGACGTAACTGCTCGAGCAGTTAATGAGCTCCTTACCACAGCACGCCCAGCCTCCCGACGCCCTCCTCCTCTGCGTCCCTCCAGCTTGGGACCCTCGCCCTGGGCCCTGGCAGCACCCTCAGCACACCTCCCTGTGCCCCTGTCCTGGGGCCACAACTCCACCAGCGCCAGACTGCTGGGTCCACCTGGGTACCCTCTGGACTCCAGCTGCGTTCCTTGGTCTGTGTCGGGCACCAGCAGCCCAGGAGGCAAGTGAGGCTCCCCCAGGCCCCCCAGGCGGGCCTGGGAGGGCCAGTCCTCCCGCTGCCCGGCCCAGCACCCCCCCAAGTTCAGAAGTTCCCAAGGTCCACAGAAATCAACGTTGGAACATTTTATGGAATTTTAGATAAAGGCTTTATCATATGAAAAAAAAAAAAGTCACAGCCAGGAGGGCGGAGGCTGCAGGGCCACTCTCTGCTCTCGCTGGCGGACCCCGAGGCCTGGTTTTCACGGTTTACGAAACGGCGGGGGAGGTGGTGGTGTGGCTGCCCAGCGGCGTGGACCCCTTCACTTAGGGGTGCAGCTCGGCGGGGAGCACCTGCTTAGCATGCCTGGGGCCCCGGGTCACATTATTATGGAATGTCGTGAGCTACTGAAAGGACGAGTCACGCCGCGGTTACAGCCTCGCATGGGACTCTGTTAAGCGCCTGGCCATTAAGGCTCCCATGGCCACCCTTTACTCCTTCGCGTACGCCGCGTGCTCATCTACTCCTCTTTTGTTAAACTGGTCAGAAGCCAAAGTGTCATCTATCTTGGTCCAGACCCTCCAAGAGTGGAATGGCAAGAGTCCCTGTAAGTGGCCCCTGCGTTCTGGTGGCAGTCCCCACAATTCCTCGAGGACAGCCTCACTTTCTGGCACAGAAAGATTCGTCTTGTACCCGTCCCAGCCCCGCCCTCAGATCGCTGGTCCCTCCTGGTGGGGTCCAGCTGAGGTGCTCATGGCCACATGGGTCACTGCTCCTCAGCCTCCTGGTAGACAGACCCAGGTGGCAGGGACACAGACCAGCTTCCTGACCCAAGTTACTGGCTGGAGAGTTGGACATCTGCCCCACATTCACCTTCAGGGACACAGCCAAGCGCGGAGTGGCCACTGCACAGGCCCAAGGAGGCCCGAGGCGCAGGTGCCCTCAGCCTCCAGTGGCAGCTCCCACACCGTCCGGGGGGAGGGGGGGGATCCTGTGCTCCACGGAGCTGTTGCCACATTTCTCACACCTTTGAGCTTTGCTAGCCACCTCACTGATTAGAATGTCCCCTGAGCCAGTGCTGAAGCGCCCTCGGGTCCCCTGAGCGCCAGGCCCGAGGTTGCAATTGGCGGGTAAGTGCGGGAAGTGTTGGGTAAAAACGTGACCGGAGGCTCGCAGGGACCCAGCGGAGCTGGCCTGGGAGCGCAGGGCCGGCCGTGGCAGGCTCTGGGCACACGTGCGCATCAAGCCTGGGCATGCACGTGCGCGCTCACCGGCAGCCACTTCTCCATGGCTGTGCACGCGCACGTGGTAAACCCACGCGTTCATGGCAGCATCTGCCATTTCAAACACGGCCCAGGGTCTTTCCCGACTTTTCCTTCCTGTGTTTCTATATTTGTGCCATCTTTAGAGTGCCAGGCTTGGCTTGTTACTATCAACGGGTTACCTTCTGGCTGGGTCATTTGCTTATGTGCACACATAACTGCCCCCCACCCTGCCGCCCCGCCCCACCTCGCTTCCCAAGCACAATCCCAACCCCGGCCCCCACTCACGCGGCACCTCCTCCTTCCTCCCCCCTGTTTCAAAAGCCAGACACCAACACGTGTGCCCTAGGAGGGAAGGGGGGAGCACTGCCCAGGATCTGCAGATGGAGTTGGGGACGCTGACATCTCCCAGGCGTCACTTTCCCATCCACAACTTGCATCCCAGCCCTCCTTGCTCCCGTTGTGGAGTTTCGGTATTTGTTTGCGTACAGTTCTTACGTATTAGTTCTCGGATACAGTTCTGTGTCCTTGATTACATACATATTTTAAATACAAAGTGTTTTAAAAAATGAAACTATCATGGCTATGACAGGGAATCTTAAAATCCCCATGAATTTCAGAATGAAACATGAAAATGCAAAGACACCTAGATGCAGCGGGGACAATGTTCCATCTCCAAGCCAGAAAGTTCCTCTAAGCAGGAATATCTGAAACAATGGAGACTAAAGAGGAATCTGTGCAGTCCTCAAAGGCACAAGTGACACAATGTGTGGTCTCTCCAAATCCAGGTGCAAATGGTCTGCCAGGAATAAAGTTGGGGCTTCTTGAAGTGGCTGAAAGTCTTCGCTGTTGTGCAACTATCAACCTTCCCAGCAAAACCAGACCCCAGCTTCCCACAAAACTAACCCGATTAAGGTGGAAGACAGATAAAACACCCAGGCTCACTGTCGTCACACTGTCCTATGAAGGAGGGGACCTTCTCCACCCGGGTTTCCGTCCCCTGCATCCGGCTCACAGGAGGTAGTCAGTGTCTGGGCCCCTCTCCCTCAAACCCTGGTGTGACCCCAAGACCACAGCCCCAGACACAGGGATGGCTTCACGCTTTCCCCTGGGCTCTTTCCTAAATAAGATACGCTCAGCTGTGACATGATTCTGCAGTTGTCTAAATATTATAAACGAGGGACTCGACGCTTACAATAATAAAATCTTGGGTTTCCTTTAGCTAAGCAGACACCCGGCCTTTTATGGAAAGTGAGCAAGCTCAAGTGGGGTGGGATCCTTGATAACATCTCCCAAGGCCCTGGAGTGGCTCTCCCCCCGCCACCTGCAATGTGGCCGAACCGTCTCCAGCCTACCCCACCTCTCCTTCCATCACCTCCATCTGCCTCTCTAAGCCCAGCATACCCCAAATCCTTTCCAGGCCCCCAGCTTGGCCTCAGCCCCTGCCCCACCAGAGGACACCATGTCTCCAACAGACCCTGCCTGGCCATGTCAGTGCCCTCAGGCACTGCCCCTTCTAGAAAACACTCCCTGGTCTGTACACGGGGCTGATGGTGGCCTAGCTAAACTCTGCCTGGCCTCCAGGGCCCTGGGAGCCTCTGTCCTCTGAGGGCATGCAAGGCTCACCCTGCCTCCCCCGCATGGCCCTCTGCACTTTGACCATGTGGAGCCAGCAGGGTGGGCCCACGGCCAGCTGCCAGGAGGGACGAGTGCCTCCAGCACTGGCCCCAACCTGCCCTTCCTGTCCGGGTCTGTCATGATCAAGAGCAATCGATCCATCCAAGAATCGCGTGAGCTGCTGACACTGGAACTCAAATGAATAACAAGGTCATCGCCTAGGACAGAGGTAGCCGGGGCTGGCGTGCGACTGCGACCTATTCCGAGGTCGGCCTGCCTCCTCTCCTACTGAGGCTGCTGGGATGACGGACACCTTTTCCTATGGCCTCAAGAGTCTGCCTGCAGAAGTCAGAAAAGTGGGACCAGGGAGGTGGCGGGAGGAACCTTCCAGAACACTGCGAGCTCTATCCTTGACCCAGCTAACACAGTGAGCCGGGCACATCCACGGAGCTGCATTCTCAAGGACTGCTGCACAGGTCCCTGGGGTTCCTACCCGCCCTCTCTAGCCCAGCCACGCGAGAACACCCCGCTCCCCATACACACACTTCCCTGCCTCCACGAGCTCCCCCTCAGCACCCCCATTCCTGCCGCCCCCAGTGCCCAGTCCACTGTCTCCAGTCCCAACACTCCCACGCCCCTGCGCACAGCTCACATTCACACTCAAACCCACACGCCCAGAGGGCGCGCACACAGCCCCAGAGGAAGGCCACAATTAACTCTGAGGCCCAGCAAGTTTCCCGAGCAGGCACCACATTTGAAAGGTCAGGGAAGCAGGGGGACAGGAAACGCACAGGGGGCAGGCCGGGGGGTGGAGCAGGAAGTAAGAAATCACTTGCACAAGATGAAAAGAGAAGGACCCTGCTGCTCCAGACACCTTCCCGCACAGGAGACAGCTCAGGGCTCGGGTCTAGAGGAAGCAGGGATACGGGCGGGAGGGTCCAGGGTGCCCCACCACCCAGCAGGGCCAAGGCAGGGTGGCGGGAGGACAGGCCATCCCTGTGCTCAGAACAGGGGGCAGCTCTCCTCAGTCCTGGGCTCTGGGCAGAGCTTAGATTCAGTCCCACGAAAGAAGTGGCCTGGGGCTCTGCTCGGCCACGCTGGAAAGTCCTGGGAGACAGCAAAGGCCCAGGCCCAGAAACAGGCCCACAGTCTGCCCACCAGGGCTGCCAGGCTACCACAGGGGACCTGGGCCCTTCCAGGAGTTACTGTATGACCCTAATTCTGACCCAGAGGATAACTCCAGCCCCAGGACACCTCCAGGGGTGACCATCAGATTGTCACGGAGGCCCCAGCCCTTGAAGTCCCAGAAGTCAGTTCCCCAGCACCTGCCCCTTGGCCCAAAGCCCACAAGGACAGTAGACCTAGAGGAACAGGCAGAGGAGGGCACAGATTTGCTGCAGGCCTCCGGGTGCTCACCACCACCTGAGCCAGCCTGGCCTCATAGCACCGTCAGGAAGCCTGGGCTCCTCCACTCCTGTTAGCAGGTAAGGATCCAGATTCCACGGCCCCAGCTCAACATGGCTGTGCCCAGCACCACTGAGAAGGCCGGCTCCAGTCCGGTTCCAGGAGGGGTGTGGGAAGGGACGGGACGGACACCAGGTCTCTGCTCCAGAGGCTGTGGACTCGCAGACTCCACTAGGAGGGACAACCCATGGAGCAACCACAGAGCACCCCCCAAGAATGCAGAGCTAGGCCTCTTAACAGGAGCTAAACGACACTGCACACCGCCCAGTGTGACAGCTCTGAGAAGCCATGCCAAAGCTAGGTGGCAGTAAGGAACAGCGGTGGCCAGATCCGGTCAGCCTAGGCACCTGCCCTCTCTCCCCAGCCTGTGGAGGATGCCTGGGCAGAGGGACACAGCCTGGAAGTGATCAACCATCTGAGAGGCTCTGAGAAGTCCTGCGGTGAGGAAGCCCGGTTCACGTCTTCCCCCCACTCCCCGGCCCCAGGATTTCCTAAATGTTCCTGACCACGGAAGAGTATTTTTAATTTTAACCCCAGGAGCATATTTTGAAAAACACTGGCCCAGAGTCAGGAGCAAAACACAAAACGATGTGAACCTGAGTGGACAAGGGAGAGATGGGCAGCGGTGGGTGGACCCAGAGCAGGTGCGCGCTCCGCCCACTCCCCACCCCCAGCCCACCACCCCTTTCACACTGATGTGGCCCGGGGTGAAGGGCTGGCCTGGACACATCAGGGCACTCTGCCCCACCTCGTGGGTCACTGTGAGGAGCTGCCTTCTGACCCTGGCCAGGGACGCTCTCCATCTGAACATCCCAGATACAAATGAACACCCAGGCCCAGGGCTCTGCACCATGCTCCTCGCAGCTGCCCGGCCAGGCTGCAGAGCTGGCTCCTGAACACCAGCCACGTCCAGCAAAACTCCAGCGGGCAGAGCAAACAGCCAAGCGCCAGCGCCGTTACCAGGACCAACTGCCTTCTCCAAATCCAGCCCCTCACAGAGCCCTGAGCTGGTGGCCTTGGGGTGGAGCCACGGGACACTGCGTAGTGGACACTCCTGAGAAAGTGCTGCACTGAGCCATCTCCCCACAGCTGGGGTCCACCTGGGCCAGCGTCTCCGCCTCAGCACCATGACCAGGCTCACGCTGACCAGGCCCATGCCGGTCAGGGCTTGGCGGCCCACCCTCCAACACGCCTGCTGGCCAAGCACACAGCACCCTGAGCACTCTGAGCCCTGATTTAGTGACCCTCTGTGGAATGGCATCAGTGCAGCCATGCCCGGGCTGGGGGCGGGGGGGCCACGACATCCAATTCACCTCTGCAAATGTGAGCTTTCCCTAATTAGAAGGTTTAGGGCAGAGCAGGGAAAAATATGTATTTCAGAGTCCCAGTTTGACTTGCCAGAAACCAGCCCGTTACTAACGTTCTTATTTTCAACAAAATATAGCATTCTGATTACATATCATCTCCGTCCCGGCCCGCCAGGCTCCCGGAAGTGGCCGGAGACCACGGGAAGAACAAGAGAAGCCATACTGGGGTGGAGATGCACTTGGGGACCTCTGGGGGGCTTCCTGCTGGACCCCTCCAGTGGCAGGGAAGTAATTTCTGCTCTCTCCATGGGACGGTGGCTGTTTTCACCCATGGTCATGAGACCCCGTCTGCACAGGCACCAGTGGCCTCGGTCTCCCCAGCTGTTGAACAAGAGGGCCAGGTCCGGCCAGCAAGGACAGCTTAGCACCAGGGTGACTTCGAAGCAAACACTATCATCAAACGCCCCTTAAGAGGTGGGTATGGAGCCACCATCTGCCAACCCCTTGTCCCCACATGAACCCTGCAAGTATCTCCACTCCCCCGGACTCAGTTTCCTCATCCGTAACATGGGGGCAGCGGAGGCATTGAAGGAATCCACAGGCACCTCTTAGAACCTGCTGGGGACACCAGAAGTGCACCACAAACCTCAGCTCTTTCTATCTATTGCATCTCGGGTATCCTAACCAGGATATTTAAACACAAGGATTTCAATTAAACACACACCCTAAAAAAGCAACGCCTCCCCCCCCCCCAGGGCCTGCCCTTAATTCAGACCAGCGTCAGAACCACCCAGGTATGTGCTCTACACGGGACTTTCTAGCTGTCCTTTGAAATCAATCAAGGAGGAACTTCTAAGCTGTGCGCCCACACCTGTGCCCGGCTGGCTTCCCACCCCTGCTGTCTCAAGTAAACAAGCTGGTCTCTGGTGACGCACACCAGGCTCATCCTGGGCCCCCACCAACTCTGCATCTGCTCTGTCCTCTAGCATCTTGGCTTTGTCCCCCCCAACCCCCGTGGGCAGGGACCAGCAGTAGACACAAGAAAGCCAAGCAAAAGGGTCAGTGCCACTGCAGGTAACGAAGATGGCACCCGGTCTCAGGGTCCACGGGAACAATGCAATTCACGTCTGCATCCCCCACCTGCCCATCCTTCCTGAGTCCTGTCACATGCAGAAGAATTCGGTACAGGGGCTGGGCTGGGCCTAGGGGCAGAGCTCAGGCAGGAGGCCCTGGGTTCCTCAAGGTGAGGGCAGAGGACAAAGGAGGAGGGGGACGAGGGGCAGGAGGAAGAAGCAGCAGCAGAGTCATTATTATGACATTATCATCATCTGGTGCCAAGGCCACTAGGCAAGCTCAGAGACCGGAACAGAGGTGCTGGCCTTGGTGGCCCTAAGCCATGACCGAGAACTACCACCTGGGGAAAGGAGGCGGCCAGAGCCCA